CCTGTGGGCCTGACTCCAGCTGAGGATCTTGTGGGGAAAATCTAGGGGACTGTGTTCCAGGAACCTGGAGGAGCAAAGCCAGCGCCTCAGCAGGGAACAAGCCTAGTGATAGGGGCCACACCGCACACCCCCAGCAGCCAAACCAGGCCAGAGGGGAGAGCATTCAATAGAATTGTCACCACCTCATCGCAATTCAAATGTTGGAATTCCCAGCCCCAGAATCTTAAATTATGGCAGTATCTAGACAGAAGGCCTGTAATGAGTGACTGAGTTAAAGCTAGGCCTTCAGGATCCAGATCTGGTCTGCCTGGGTCCCCATAAGAAGTGGACAGGCCAGCAGGGAGGAGAGTGAAGCCTCCAGAGAAAGCAAACTGCCAGGACCTGGAATTCCAGCCTGCAGACCCAGAAGGAAACAAACCATCTGTGATCGAAGCCGCCCAGGCTGTGTGCCTGCCTGTTCCAAGCAGAAGCGCAAGGCTGACGTGTTTAAGGCACAGCCAAACTGGGGACTCAAGGTCAGATGCACTACCATGGAAGCAGATGATGGTGTGACTTCTAGGACCAGAGCAGATACTGTGTGTGTGCGTGTGTCTGTGTGTGTGTGTAGGTGGGTGGGTGGTACTGGGGATTGAATTTAGGGCCTTCTTCACACCAAGCTATCTTCCCAGGCCATTTCTTAATTTTTTCATTTTTAGACAAAACCTTCCCGAGTTGCTAAATTGTCCAGGCTGGGCTTGGACTTGCAATAACCCTGCCTCGTTCTCCTAGAGTGCTGGGCCTAGGTTTGTTTTTAAATCTTGGAGTGGGACAGGGAACGTGGGAGGACTCTGGGTGGTGACGATGGTGATAGTGGCTGGACTCTGGCACAATTCTAGCTTGCAGTGCAGCTATGAACCCCCGGCCTCATGCACACTAGGCAAGTGCCCTGCCCCTGCGAGAGCACCACCCCAAGCTCTGGTGTGGTCTCCAAGCACAGCCAGCAGGATTTGCCAGTGGATTATGTGATGATGTGTGAGAGAAAAGAGCGGTGCACAGCCCCAGAGGTTTGCCTTGAACCGGATATGAAATGGTGACTTTGGTTTTGGACCGGTCTGATCAGGATATGTATGAGATGCCCACATAGAGGTGCCAGCAGGTAGCTGGACGCTCTGAGCTGAGTTCCAAAGGGAACACAAGGACAATCTGTGTGGACCCTGCCCTCGCCCCATCACCCATCTGGTCTGCAGCTTCTCTGTGCTCCCTACCACCATTCCTAACCCAAGATGTGTGCAACCTGCCGTGTTTGTCTGCTTTCCTCTCAAACTGGGGCAGAAAAGGAATCCATATGTTTTATTTGCCATACTGTTTCCCAGGCCAGACACGGACAAGTCTGGGGTAATGTGACCCATGAGTAACAATGAGGGGTGAAAAATTCCTTACATGCAAATGTTCCTACACAGTGCCACCCTCTCCAGCAGGCTCTGCAGACATCCTACACCTGCCTGTCCCTGCCCAAGTGATGGGGAGTTGGACCAAGGAAGTTGGGGCCTGAGGTAAGAGCCCAAGGGCATAGGAGAAAGGTTTAGGAGAGAGTGAGTGGAGGGACACAGACAGGAATAGAGACTGACAGCTAACTCGAGGTTGACACACAGCTCCACGTGGGTTGAGAGTTTACATCCCTGTTCCATAGATTTCTTAGGGAGGTGGCAGTGTTAATGGACAACTCCTGAAGAGTAGATGCGAGAGAAAATTGGGGAGAAAGGAAAAAGACAAAATAATTTTGTCAGAGAGAGAGAGAAGTGGCTTTCTCTGTGCTTGGCTTTCAAAACAACCAGCTCAAGTTTATCAGGAAAACATACCAGTCATCAATATGTGTCAACCAAAGAATAGAGCTTCAAAGTTCTTGAAGAAAAAAAGAGGCAGCAAAAATGGACAAACTAAGAGAAGATAAATTCAAATCACACGAGGAGATACAAACAGTTCTCTCTGCATAAGTGATAAAAATTATTTGTTTTAGGCTAGGCACAGTGAGCTATGCCTCTACTTAGGAGGCTGAGACAGGAAGATAACAAATTCAAAACCAGCCTGGGGAACTTAGCAAGGCTAAAATAAATAAAATAAAATAAAAGGGGTTGAGGGTGAGCTCAGTTATAAGGCATTTACTTAGCATTTGCAATGCTCTGGGCTTGGCATGTAGATATATATATATATATATATATTTTATATCTCCAACACTATCAACTAATTTCATCAAATTCACATCTAAAGAATACCAAGCCTTACAACTCAGAATATGAAGATTGTTCAAATTCTACTCCATCAACATGCTGTATAGTCAGCCACAAAATAAGTCTCAGTTCACTTCAGAGACTCTGTTCTCTGGCCATAATGCGGTTTTGCAAATCAATAAAAATAAAAGATTTAGAAAATCTCAAAATATGAGGGATTTGGATAACACAGTTTAAATAACCTATGAGTCAAAAGAAGAAAAAAAACAAGATAAAGTAGTTGGGAACATGAGTAAAATGGAAAAGCACAGCTAATACTGGGCCTTCTTTTTATTATCATCATCATCATCATCACCAGTGAGTTGTTTGTGCGGACTGTGAGCGGGTGGGCTGACACGCAGGCGGGGTTCCAAGGGGTCACGCGGGGGACAGGACAGAGCACATGGCAGCCGCCAGGGCGACACCGGCAGGACTGCGCATGCCTGAGCTCTTCCGCCATGCCCGCTCACTGCTGGATTCTGCGCACACTCTGCACCTGGAAGGTCTGGGCGTGAGATCCCCACTCTCGGAAGTGCTTGTAGTCACCGGAGTGGTGATCGCTCTCCAGCACGTACTGAAAACCTCGGTAGCCGGGAAACTGGGAGCACACCCAGCTGGAAAAGGGAAGAGACAGAGTTACCCCGCGGAGGCACCAGCACATCCCCTGGGACAGCCTAGCCATCCCAGCCCCTCTCCACTGCCTGGAGCATGTCGGCCCTGTACCCGGTTACAGGGCTTTGGAGCGTGCAGTTTCCGCCTAGGAACACCCTTCTGGCCAGTCTTTGCCTGGCTGACTGTATCTGTGCTTTGGTTCCCAATGCTATGTGATTTTATCAGGGCCATGTGACCCACCCTCCAGCTCAGGCTGCCTCCTTTGTAGCAGTCATGTAATTCAGTAATGCTAAAGTGATTTATGAGATGTCAGGCTTCCCTGCCAGCAGCTCCTGTGCAGGGGTGTCTGTTTTGTTCAGCTGTACCTGTAGTGCCTAATACCTCCTGTCCTGGTAGAGAACAGGAGGAGCCCGCCTAGTGAATACTAGGCCAATGAAGAAAAGAAGGAAGGATGGAAAAAAGGAAGGGTCCTCCTCTGCTCCCTTACCCAGAGCCAATTCCAAGGGGAGAAAAAGATGTTTTTAATGTGTTGATCCTGATTTTGTTTAGGACAAAAATTGATGTTTACATTTTCAGTCCTCATTCTCCTGTCTGTAAAAGAGGGAGCCAGATTCAAGATTCACAGGGGACACGTTTTCTGCAGTAATGAGATTCTTTGGTTGTTTCTCAGAAAACTAAGTGGAAAAAAATACACAACGATTCATCTCCATTGCTGCCTATCAGGGGCCAAAGGGCCCCTGCGAAAGTTGCTCTGATGTCCCCTTCAATGGGGAGCCCACATCTGGGCTTTGCTCTGCTCTCCCATAGGGAAAGGATGGGAAAGATCCTGAGCTGGAGGCCAGATTTAGTCTCCTGTCTGCTGCTGGACTGAGCAAGTTGCTGGTTCCACATTGGTGTCTTTTACCCTGGACAGCTAGCTATCTTCCCTCCCCTCTTCAGGTCAAAGGTCCTGCCATTCCTCCCTCTCAACAGCAATGTGCGTGTGACCAGGTCTAGCCAGTCAGAGCATTCCATCCCTTTGGCTTGGTGATTGAGCACAATACCCATGTTGGATCAGTGAGCACCTTTCCTGGAATCTCTGATGGAATCATTGATGCTATCTTTGCCTTTACATGGGAAGTGAATCTAAAACTATAGCACACTGAGGCGGTGGAGAGAAAGATCCCATCATAGCACCTGGATCCAGCTGTAACTGAAGATAGTTACAGGGATCAATAAGTATTATTTAGGCTTAAACAGATTTAGTCCAGGTTTCCATCACCTGAAGTCCCATAAATTCTGCCTGAGTCCTGCGCATGTCCTCCGGAGTGTGGCCTCGGCCCCCAGCAAACAGTTTTCACAGGTTATGGCCTGTCCCTCCCAACACCCTTTGTCCCTGCCAGGCAAGTCCCACTTACGCCCCAGAGTGGACATGGAAGGAGCCCACTTCATTGCTGTCCCAGCCCATGGCCTGCAGGGAGGGGTAGTCATCACTTAGCTCTCCTTTCTTGCCCAGAAAGTTCTCCTGCTCAAAGATGGTCAGTCTGGAGTCACGGTGGTTCTAAGGATGCAGACAGGAGGCAAGGTCAGAACACCTGGCAGCCTGTCCGGTACCTAGATGCCCACCTCAGCCTTTTTGGCAAACCCCTGGGAAGGGCATTTGGCAGCAGATACTAGAAACTTATAGGAGCTGTATCATCTTCTCTTCTAGAACTTTCTACCAAAAAAGTAATCAGGAGACAAATAAGTGCAAGGATGCTCATCACAACAAAAAAAAAGGGGGGGGGGTGAGGAATGGGCCCAGATGGCCAGTAAAAGGTTCTGATAGTAAACAGTGTTGCATAGTTGGTACAATTACCAGTGTCTGAGCTTAGACATGGCACCCAGCGTGTCTGAGCCTGTTTCCACATGTGTGACGTGGAACCAACCACACCTGCTTTTTAGGGCTGCTTTGCAGACATCAGGGATTGTGAGCTGCATGGAACAAGGCTGCCTGCTGTGTTCCATGGCTAGAAAAGGGGACATGAGAACTTGAACTCTGGGTGTCTGATGGCCCAGTGCCCACTGATGGGGCCAAGTGGCAGGACTCACCGCACAGGCTACGGGCCGGAAAGAGGTGAGGCGCTCAGCGGGATAGGCCGTGTTCCCGCTCCAGGCATCCCAGCTCGGGTAGTCACCCCGCTCCAGCACATACTGCTGCCCTTGGAAGCCAGCGTGTTCGAAGCCCACCCACCTGTGGAAGGAGGGAAGCAGGGCGGGGAGGTGAGACCCCAGCCCTCGGTCTCAGGCCAGTGTTCTCATTCAGGGGACTCTGCCACAGGGAACAACGGGCAAGGCCTGGAGATGTTTGTGGCTGTCACTTAGGGGAGAAACTGCGACCATCTTTCCATGGCAGGGACGCTGCTGAGCACCTTACAGAGGAAGAAGTCCCAGATCTTTTTGGTAGCAGGGACCAGTTTCATGGAAGAGTTTTGCTATAGTCGGGATAGAGGGGGACAGCATGTGGAGAATGGTTTCCAGCTGAATCAGAGGAGATGTTAGCCTAGATCCTGGCATGCACAGTTTGCAGCAGGGTTTAGCTCCTGCGAGAATCCTGGTCTAACAGGAGAGAAAGCTCAGGCGGTGGAGCCAGAGCCGCTGGGTGTGTATGTGAACACAGATAAAACTCTGCTCCCTGGCCTGAGGCTCACCTCCTGCTGTGTGGCCTGTTCCTCACAGGGATTGGAGCTCTGTCCTACAGTGCACAGGAGCCCCCGCAGTGGCAGACCTGGCCCAGAGCATCAGGAAGGCCAGGCACACGTGCTGCCTAGATCCTCTTCCCCACGTTGGAGCTCCGGCCACCCTGCACCTACACCGTCCCACACGCCGGGCACACAGGGCTCACCAAGGGCTGCCTGTGGGCCTCCTGGTGATCCCACGAGGCCATAGGAGACGGACTGTGTGGGGCACCACCCAGACACCGTTTCCCCTCCTCTCTACCCCTCTGAGTCCCCTGAGATCTGGGGCTTACACCCGACACCTGGCAGGGGACAGAGGAGGCTGAGTTGAAACACAGTGGTGTCGCCTGGGCGGCAGGGAGCTGATCAGCCAGACAATGACCCTGTATTTGGGGTCATCTATGGGACAAAGGACCCAGGAGCCTGACCCCACATGCACTTTGCAGTTGTCCCCTCTGTGGCAACACTCGGTCTGATTCTGTGGTCCATGTCTCCTTACTGCCTTGGCCACCAGTGCTAGTGCTAACTAGTGCTAACTTGGCACTAGTGCTAACCCTAGGCCTGTGCACCTCTCTCCCTATCCAAAAAAGGATCATGTTTAGTGTCTTTTAAAACTATATTTGTACAGTTGCCTTCTACTTTTGGTGAGTTTGGCTTTCAGTTTATGCCTAGGGGATATTTTTATGCCAGTGGAGTTGTGTCATCCAGTGGGCAGGAACTGAGTGAATGGCATCCCCTACATTTGGGCAGTGTGCAACCTGTGTAAGCTTACATGGCAGTCCTACACTGTCCTCAGAATTTCAGGTGGGCTCATGGGCACACATCGTGGTAACTGGTATTTTAGCATCTCCTTACAGAAAGTGGGGTGGGGCTCAGCTGGGAGCACTGGGCTGTCTGGGGGCACATGGAACAGGTTGGGAAGGTAAGACTGAAAACAGCTAAAACTTCCAGAACCATTCTCTAGGTCCTTCCTGCCCCTTCCCACTGCCCCATTCTCCACTCCCACGCCCCAACACTCACGCTCCACTCAGCACTTTCAGAGATCTCACGGTCTCGAAGCCCAGCTCCAGGACGCTGGGGCACTCAGCCGTGAACTCGTGCCGTCGGCCCTGGAAGCCCTCTTCATCCCACACCACCACCTGTGCCAGAGAGGAAAGCTGGGCGAGGGGGAGCCGCGGGCAGCAGCATCTGGTGGGGGTGAGGGCTGGGAGGCCCCCCAGAGCGTGGGCTGGGCAGGGCAGGTAAGACAGGGTGGAAGCCAGAGGTGCTCCAGGCCCAGGCAGGGAAGAGGGATGGGGTGGGCAGGGCACAGGCTCAGGCCGTGGTGGGGCCTCTGTTTTGTGCCATCAGCCCCTGCCTAGTGGGAATGAAACAATCTCAGGATTCTTCAGGCCACCTTCTAAATCTGGGCTGTGACATGGCTCATCCAGGTTTTTAAGGCTGATGACAAATTCAAAGTCCCCTCTACCCAACACCCCAAATACAGGCAATCCGAGAGATCAGGCAGAAGGCAACTGCGATCTCGGCCAGAAAATGTAGAAGTCCAAGTTTGGACCAGAAGACCCGAGTTCGCATCAGGCTCTCTGGGACCTGACCCGAGTCTCTGGCTGCTCTGAGATGTGGTGGTGTGGTCTCCCAAACACGTATCCTGAACCCTCCCTTAGGCAAGGCAGTTGTTCAGTGGCACAAAGATTCTGGGGCTTTGCTTGACCTGTGTCCTCACCCCTCCCAGGCCACCCTCCCAGCCACTTCCTACCCTCCAGTGTCCCGCGGACTTGGTGCACTGCAGTGTCATGCTGGCCCCTTCCTGCACAGAAAAAGAAGGTGAGACCTTCCCACCCCGGCCGGCGCACCTCCCTGCTGGTTCGGGCAGGGGCAGGGTACTGGGACCTTGGCTTTTCCTGTCCCTCTCCTGTCCCTTCCATCTAGGGCCGGCACCATCAGCCACGCTGTCCCCACCTCAGAACTTGCTCCACGCTGGGTCCCAGTGCCTCTGAGCTTGGCTCTGTGTGGTTTAATCTGCTCGCTGCAGGGGACTTAGCATGGCTGCCAGGGCATCAGCCAGTCAAGTGCCAGGCCGTTCAGCCTAGGGGATGTGGGAGAGCTGTCCCTAAACGAGGCTCACAGGGACCAGTCTGAGCATGTGGGACCTGTTCCTGGTTAGGATAAGGATGACATTTGGGATGACATAGAGACACCCCCAAGATTGGGGACCTGGGCCACCCCCTCCCAGGATGTTCACTCCAAGTTCTGAGCCCAGCCCTCCACACCTGGGACTTACCGAGATGGGCCCAGAGAACATGGCAGAACTGGGACCTGCCAAGGTCAAGCTCTTATAGGCAGGGATCGGAGAGGGGCCCCTGGCTGGCGAAGCCCCGACTCAGCAAGTGGGTGACAGAAACAAAAGCCAGGCCTGGCCACACCCCCAGGGCGGAGGTGTCAGCATCTCTGGCTTCAGCTGGGAGGGAACAGAGCAGGTTGCCTCCCCAGGGACAGCCATGGAGGATGGTGAGAGGTGGAAGGTCAGCCTCTGTCAGCTCCACAGGGCTGAGCAGGAGAGGGAGCACTGGACAAGCTGTGTGACCTTGAGCGAGCCATTCCCCTTCCGTTTCTGTCTGTAAAATGGGATGGAAATAAACTGCACCGAAAAGTCATTGTGAGATGATGTGACAGGTCCATGCCTTTGCCCCTCCCATGCCCCTTCCCATGCCAGCTGCAGCAGTGCAGGCTGCAGCTGGACTCTGAAGGGTGAGGAGAATTTCAGAGTGAGACAAGGAAAGGTATCTAAACCAGAGTGCGGATGGAAGATCTTGGGGACCAAGGACAAGGAAGAGCTGGCTGTCTACCTGGGCTGCCGCTCAGGGGTCCTGGAGGGGAGGAGCTAGAGGTGGGCTGGGCCACAGCCTGCAGGATCCGCAAAGCCAATGAGGTGTCCAGATGGCTCTGCCAGCAGAAGCAAAAGGCTGTCGGTCACAAACATGCTTTGCAAACTGTCATTCATGTGCTAGGCATCCGGGGCTTGCAGAATTCCCTGAGGACCTCTGCTTCCTGCACCTTGGCCCTGGATTGGCTGGTGAGGGGTGAAGCGGGAAGAGCAGAGCTGGGAATAAGCTCGCCCACAGTGAGATCCAGCCCTGCTTCCTACCACCATCCTGGTGACCTGAAAACCGATCCCTCAGGGATCTGTGATGGCTACCTCCATCACTGGGGAGGGGGCTAAATGCAGCTTCATCACCTGAGTGACTTTGATGAAGGGTGACCGTGAAAATGAAAGGTTCAGGATGCAGCTCGCGCAGCCAGACAGCCCAGTCCACATCCCCGTCTTGCTGGTGCGGGGAGCTTTGAGCACGCTCCCTAATCGATCCTAGCCTCAGTTTCCTTGAGCATAAATGAGTGCAGCAGCCTGATTGATCGGGGTGATGTGAGGATCAATGTGATCGCCATGACTGGGCTTTGTAACTGTTCCAGAGACATGAAAAGCGTGGTGTGTCTCTATCATTTGTTGTCAGCATCACTAATAATAAAAGTGCTCGTTATTAATCATTCACGAAAAGCTTCTAAGAGCTTGGCTTTGGGAATTAGAGAGATGTTGGTCTGGGTTCCACCCGAGAGAGGAAGAAGTGGGCTGGAGAGGTGAGGTGAGGCTCCACGCTCCGTGAGATCACAGGGGCCGAGGCAGTTACGTGCTCAGAGCAGAGGCTCCCAGCGCGCTCTCTGTCTCAGCTCTGCTCCCACCGTTTAGTGGGTGGTGCATTGCCAAGGGGGGCACGGAACTGCCCCAGACGGCCCAGCCTTGGAGCCCAGGCCCGTGGGTGGCCCCACCGCAGGCATTTTGGCCCCAGTTCCAGTGGCTTCGCTGTCTCATCCTGTCCCACAGTTCCTGCCTCGCCCTCCCAGGCCTTGGCTCAAGATGAAAGGGGGAGGCTGAAGGTGCGGGGGCCCAGAAGCAGGGAGAAGTTGGCCCCAAGCCAGCAGGATCACAAGACAAGGGGATCCTTGTGGGGTCTCTGTGGGGATCCTGGACCCTCAAAGACAAGGTCAGAACCCGTAAGATACCCCACATCCCCTGCCCAGGGCTGGGAGTCAGCCTGCAGGTGACCTGGCTGAGCAGTTTTCCCAGGTCCTTCTGGCCCAGCTCCACTGTGAATCCCTGTCATGGGACATTGTCAAAGTCACTTGTCCTTCTTGGGCCTCAGTTTCTCCATGTGTGACACGAGGGAATTGGACCTCTGGGTCTGCTCCTTTGTGTGGAGTCCATACTACCCCACTTGGTCCCCGTTTCTCTGTCTCTCTCCTTCACCACTGATCTCCCCTCTGCCCTCTGCCCTCTGCCCTCTGCCCTCTGCCCTCTGCCCTCTGCTGCTCTGCCTGCTCTCTTCTCTGTCACTCTCTGCTGCCCCCAGGTTCACTTTCCTGACCTGCGTTTCCTCGTGTCCCCTACACCTCCTGCTGGGCCCTCGGGGTGCCCATTCAGTCACCAAATCCTGAAAGAGGCCCTGTGTGGCCCAGCCCTAGTCTGCGGGTTGGGGCCAGTGAGGAGCAAGATGCAGCAGAGTCTGAGGCAGCTTCCGTGTTCCTGGCCCCTGCTCTGTCCCTGGGGTCAGGTGGTGAGGGCTGGTGGGAGACGCCAAGCAGATCAGCAAAGGAACAGGCCCCAGCCCAGGTCTGGGATGCTGAGCCTATCTAAGCACAAGGAGATCCTAGGCCTGCCTAAAATCAGGAGAGGAAGATGAGGGCTGCAGGCCAGAGCCAAGTCTGAATGGCATGAAATGAGGCACAGAGAACCAGGTCTGGTCTGCCTGCCCACCTGGGTGGGCACCCACCTCCCCATGCTGATCTCTCCATACCCTGACCTTTCTCATCTGTGAAATGGGTATAAGACAAGCACCCAATCAGCAGCATGATTGACAGAGGTGACAAGGGCAAAGCATTTGGTACCATGTTTAGCACCAGGAAGGGGCTACAGAAGCCCTGTAGACCATTTCTCTTGCAGAGTATTACTTTGCCTTTGTACAGCACCCAATTGGGATATTGTAGGTCAATGGTGACTGCAGACTCAGAAGAACAAAGGGCAGAGACCTGTTCAAAGTCACCAGTGCCTTGTGGCAGAGGCAGAAGTCAAACCCAGGTTACCTGCCTGCGAGGGGCTCCCCTTTACCCTCGCTGTGCTGTCAGGCCCACCCTGGCTGCGGCCACATGAGAGGAGTCAGGATGGCCAGGAGGCCTAGAGTGGCTGGCCGGCCCAGGCTCCTGCCCCGCACTAGGCTCACAATGGAAAGTGCTGCTCTCGACAGTAACCGGGAGGCCAGCCTGGTCCTGGGCCTCTCGAGCCCGCTGAGCCAGCGCCCTCTTTGTGCCCCGCACTATTGGGCCTGATGTCTGCCAGATTATAAAATGGGGGGTCGGCCCCTCGTCCCCTAGTGCACGGCCTGTCCTCCAGCAGGAAGTAGCAAGTCCCCAGGTAAGAGGGAAGCCACCAGTGCTTCCAAATGCTGAGGGGGGCGGAAAGAGAGAGGCAGCGGAGAGAGAGACAGAGGGAGAGACAGAGAGACAGAGAGAGAATCCAAGATAGAGAAGGGCAGAGAGAGGAGCAATAAAAAAAACAATGGAAGAGAGAAAAAAAATAGCAAATATTGTAGACAGAGATATACAGAGGACAGGACACTGGCAAAGACAGAAGTGGAAAGACACAGAAGAATGAGAGAGAATGAGGGAAGAATGATAGAATTAAACAGTGAGAGACGGGCAGGGAGAGAGACGCGAGAGAGAATGCATCTAAGAAAAGCACCAGTCGGTCCTACTCCTGCGGCAGCACGCAGAGGGTGGGGGCGGGGTGGCCAAAAGCCCCAGATGTGGCCCAGATGTCTGGCCCACTCTCGTGGCCAAGGGCTCCAGAGTGGCCACAGCCTTCTTCAGGGGAGGAATCTGCTCTCCTCAAAGAGAGAGGAGACTGGGAATCCGCTAGAACCTGTGCGGTCAGGGTGCCTCCAGTTCTCTACAAAGATGACCGGAGTGCTTATTTTTCCCTGGGGACAAAATCAAGGCATCCCACACGCACTTAGAAACAGGAAGGGAGCAGGAATACTTGTAGTCTCACCGTCCCCAAGGCAGTGGGGAACCACTGGAATTCGCCCGAGGCCTCTCCACCCAGTGCCCTCCAGCCACAGCACTGGCTTTCAGAGCCCCAGATGTGAACCAAATCCAACCCTGTGGTTCCCCCGCATGCCTGAGGCCCAGGTCTGTGTTTGCTCCCACACTCCCGTCCCGGGAGGATGCCAGAGGCGGCCGCCTGGGTATGAAGACAAGGACACTCGGCCTTTAGCCTCTGAAGGACATCAAATGAAATGCGCCTATATTCCAGGCACAGAGCCAAGCACTGGGGAGAGAGGGCTGAACAAATGAGAGGGACTAAATGCCAGGCAGAGTGTCTGATGCCCCCTCACCCAAGTCCATCTGCTGGAAATTGGAGTTGAAATTGGATGCCTGCTGCTGAGTGGCCCAGGCTGGGCAGCTCTCTCTCCCAGTCTCAGAAGGCTCAGCTCAGGGAAGCGGGCACAGTGACCCCATTACTCTTCCAGGTTTCGGGCAGGGCAAGCTGGGTGGTTTACTGTCTGTGATGGTGCCTGGCATGCATGTGGCCTCCCAAATGTGGCTCCTTATTGTTCTGCACCTAATGAGGCAAATCGAGGCTGCACATACAAATAAGTGTGATGTGTGGTCAAGAGCTGCAGGAGGCTACGGAAGGCACTCAGGGGGAAAGGGGGGGGGGGAGGCATGGCTGGCGGCCGGCACAGCACAGGCAGAGGCCCAGAGGAAGGTAGCTGGGGGATCGGTCGTCTCCAGACAGGAAATTCTTGGCTGGGAACAGGGATGAAGCAAAAATACATTTCCAGCTTTATATTTCCGAAGAGAAAGAGAGGAAATAAGTTCAAGGAGCTTGGAAACATACGATGAGAGGGTATGAGAGTAGGGGCTCAGGT